AAACATTGTGCTAATAAGTTAAGCATTGCATTTAAATAATAATAATAAGATTCATGTTAATTATAAAAAAATAGAGATTATTATACATACGTTATAATTTTTAATATACTTTATTATATATTATATGTTTTATATATAAAATATAACTTTGGTATATTTACTTTTCAGATGGACATTCCTGTTTTTTGCTTCTCACCGATGAATAACACAAAGATACGTCTTCACGATCACGATGAATATCTAAACAAAGATATTTTCCTGAAGGGAGTAGAGATATATACTAAAATAATATCATCTGTTGCAAATGTTTAAACGAATATTGACATACATTATGCATCAGATTTTAAAAGTACCATAGTCAAATGTTTAGAGCTACTGATAGCTAAATTCGACCATCCTACCAATAATAAGTATATTAATCAGAATCTCTTGAGTTTAAGAGATCGCAATTAATGTGCAATAATAAGTCAATATATATTTCTATATTATATTTATATATATTGTTATGCTTTTAAATTTTTATTATTGTTGGATGGAATTGAAAGATATACATATTCAAATGAGAAATAATATAATACAAAAAAAGAAGAACAAAGTGAATATCTTTAAAGAAAGGATGAGTAACAGTTCAATTTAAAAATGAGACTTCAAGGAAATTTCAAATACAGAAAATGAATGGAATGTAACGTAGATCACAATGACATCAAAGAAACGATAGAATTTAGAATTAGTAAATTATGAACACCAAGAAATCAAACATACAAGATTTTTATATCTGAAGAATACAAGGAAACAATGGTGCTATAAATGGGGCCAAAGCAATTTTGCTCAAATTAGAGAAAATTCTAAATATTATTTCCACATGAAGTATTTGCAGTAAATATATATTCACCTAAAGTATACAAATGTTTTATATTGAAAAAAAATATTTGTATAAGGTTGACAGTATCCAGAAGTGTGCATTTTGGTGATGGAGAATCAAGATCTAATCGAGGGAAACAAAGTAATCAAAATGTTTTGTAATACATATATTTTAAAGAAGTAAGTCAGAGCGATGTATTAACGTGATCAATATTACGAATAAAGTAAAGGAGAGAAATGTATGTACAGAGAAATAATTCGCATAAGAGACCATCTATTGATTTTGAAGGTAAAAGACCTAGGACGTTATCGAAGGAAATAAGCGAGAGAGAGAGAGAGAGAGAGAGAGAAAGAGAGCGAGAGAGAGAGTGTGTGTGTGTGAGTGAAAGAGAAGAAAAAAAAGATCAGATTTTTCGCGCGAAATTCAGAGCGAAGAGGAGAGAGCGAGACGAAAGGAAGAGCGGTGAAGAAAAGTGCGCGGTGTGCATTCGGCCGAGTCGATAAACATCCATGTGCCGCGTGCGCGCGTGTGTATGCCTTCCCGCCATTATCGGCGCCGCGTAGTGTTTCATTCTTAACCGGGCAGCTGCCCGACTCCCCTCCGTAGTGGTTGCAATGGACTCGCCCATCGTTTTCAATCTCGTTCACGGCACGGCGATTATTCGCCGCGCTCGCGAGACAGAACTCGCGGATGAGCACAGCGTTGGCGCGCGTTGCGTGGTGAACGGTGGAAAAATTGCGTAGTGTCGCACGGACGGTCGGAAAATACATCGCGGGAATATCGTGCCGCCATCACGAACCAGTGTCTCCGCGCGCGCGGTGTTGTTTTGGGTTCGGCCATTTTTCGAGTGGGGAAGGTTAGGGAGAGATTGGAGTGCGCGCTGAAGCCGTTCGCTTCATCGTGTGTGTCCCTGTCAACGGAAATTCGTCGAGAATTCTTAATTCGTCGATGACAAAACAGTAATCGGGGGCGCGATCGCGTGATCCTGTGTCTGCTCGACTCCTCCGCGGGAAGTCTCGTCTTTGTCAGCCATGTGCATTGCGGCGCATCGTTCAAAACGTCCTCGCACCCCCGTGGCAGTCGACCAATAAGAGACCAAGCGCCCGAGTCACGTGATCGTGGCTGGCCAATCGACGCGGCGGGATTTGAAATCTTTTGGTCTTTGTTCATGGGCCAGCTCGTGTCAACCAACGTTGCCTCAGTTCCGTCAAGGGGGACCCGTGTCGGTGTACGGTTTATACATGGTCGCTGCGCCGAAAATTTTCGACTGCAACTCGCCGCCGTAAATATATGTGTGAAAGTGCTGCCGGACGCGGACAAGATAGTGTGATTCGGAAAACGTTGGACGCGCAGTATCGATATACGGTAGGTCTGGCGCCATTATATCGCGCGCCGCGTAAATATTGCTCCATGAAAAAGTGTTGTTGCCCGTGTGTCTCGCCTTGTCTCGTCCCGTTCCATCCATCCATCCCGTCTCGTCCCGTCTCTCGCAGGCTCTCGATCGCGCGCGCGCGCTCCTCCTCTTCCTCGCTCCTCTGTTTGTTCTGTCAGGAGAAATAAGATGTATCGGAATGAATCGGACACGACGAGTGAGATCGACAATGTTGTTTTTTTCTCCTTTTCTCACTCATCCGTTGCGTCTCTCTCTCTCTCTCTCCCTCCCCTTTCGATCTATGCACGACTTTGTTTTGGGTGAATGTTCTTCTCGCACGCGAGAATCATGAAATCGAAGGAAAAATAATCGCCTCGCATTTGTCGCCGGTATTCCAGGCGCCAATATTCCTTGATCGATCCGCGATAATTTTTGCGACGGCGCTGAATTTTCGTCACCGTCGCGATTGTAATCGCATTTCGCGTCATCGCGACGGACGATATGCCGGTACAGCTGCCGTCGACTAGAAGCATAAACAGATCGGCATAAACACTCATCTTTCTTGTGTCAAAATCGCTCGGCGTGAATGAACGATTCACGGGCGCGGGAATACGGCGCCGTAAAGTTTCGGCGGGAAGAGCGAGTGCGTGACATGGGAGAGAGAGAGAGAGAGAGAGAGAGAGAGAAAATCGCTATTATGTGCTTCAGGATTGCATTTTCTAGAAACAAAAGCTAAGCATATTTCTACTATTACCAGATATATGATATAAGGACGATAAAAGGAAAAAAAATATGAAACTAACAGAAAAATAAAGTTAGATATTAAGAAAAATTAAAAAATAGAAAAAGAGAGAGAGAGGGGCTGCATTTGCTTTGGCGCTCGGCGTTTGTAAACATTATTTTCCTTGTTTTTTTAATATTTGAACATCAAGGAAATAATGATTAGAAGGTAAAGTGCAAAAGCGAACGCATCTAAAAAGAAAGATAGAGAGATAAGAATAGGAAGGAGAGAGGAAGAGAGAAAGTGCTAAAGATCGTCTACAATAAATCTAGTCTTTTTAGCTGAACTTCTTGCACGTTTATGTTTCTTCTTTTCTATCCATTTTGAAGAAGAAAAAAATAAGAGATGAACGATACAAGAAATTCAACTGAAAAGAACGGATCTTATGGGAGTAATAGTACAGTAATTTGTAAGGCGTAAAAAATCAAACGACCAATCACAATTGAATGTGAGAAGAGTAAATCTATGATTGTCAATTTCTTACAGCTTACTACACGTATTACTTCGATTATAGGTGGCCCAGTTATTAGTCGCGAGAATGCCAGAAAAACAATAGTATGTCACAAAAACAGAATACACGCGATTAGATCTGTTCGCGTTGCTTGCACTTTTTGCAGTAGGAATCTCCTCTCTTTTTTTTTTCAGTGCTCGAATATACATTTATCTCGTTTAAAATGCAAAAATTTTGGAAGATATCAAGCAACGCGAACAAACCAATTTGACGGATGTACGGGGAATGCATACGCAACAAAAACGACATGAGATATGTACGTGATGCGTGAATGTGTGCGTCCACATGTGCGTGAGAATGCATTGAAGGTGTGTGGTTAAAAGAGAGGGGCTGCGGAGGGAAGGGAGAAAGAAAGCGTTATACACTCCGTGACACAGAGTTCCCTTGAGCGGCCAATGGAGATGGGTAAACGGATACACGCGTAGTAGGTCCAGTAAGTTACAGACAATGAGAAGTAAGTGCGCGTAACCGTGAGAGAGAGAGAGAGGTAATATGCAAATATTCCAAGGGGAAAGGAAGAGTGATGCATGCGCGGGTGGGAAAGGGAATCGACGATCGCCTTTCTTAAAATTACGAGCGGCATCCTTTCGTCGAAAGTTTTCCGAAATTTCCAGAACTTCCTATCTAAAAGCGAATGCTCGAAATTTCCAAAATATCTCGAAAACAATGCATTTTTGACAAAAATGTTTTCAAATAAAAGTTGTAAGAACTTGAAAAGGGTTATCAGATGAACTACTTTTTTTTCCCATAGACTACGAATCTGCATTAAAACAAGTTTTTCCATTCGAAAAAAATTAATCTGAATTTTATTGAGCTCAAAATGAACTCTCAAAATCTGTGTTTATCTGATAACTCTCTTCAAATCTTACAATTATTTGATACTTTTTTTGAAATTAATTTGGTATCTAACTTAAAATAGTCTAATATTCTTATTCAAGTCGGGTACGGAATTTATAAGAATCCCAAGTGACTATCTGTGGATTTATTTCTATGGAGACATTTTTAAATGTGATCCTTCGATTAGTAATATTAGTTTTTAGTATCATTTTTTTCAATATAGCTCGTTTTCTTGTGAAAATTGTGAATTAGAGATTAGAATTCGATCAATCAGACAATTTATTTTAATGTTGTGCTTTACTTGAGAGTTATCTTAGATTACTGCGCACAATTTCGGAAATTAATGCGCAGATCTGTGACGATAACAAATTAGAAATATTTAGGATTGAAGATCCTAAAGGGTTTCAGGTTTGTCTTTTATTTTTTTCTATAAAAATATATACTGAAAAAAATTTTTGAAAATGGATAAATCAGAAATTTCTAGTTAAATTTATTAGAATTCTAATTGAGATAACCGGAATTCTGGTTAATGCAATATTTCTGGTAAAACCTACTAGAATTCTTATTTTTACCGGAATAATTATATTAATCGGAAAATTCTGATTCGTCCATTTTCCACCAGAATTATTATTGAGTCCAATCAGACCATTTTTTTCTTAGTGTAGTCATATTAATATTAATCCTGTAATTATATTAATCCCGAAACACAATCAAACAGTGAAACAGTGTAATAATTAAAAAAAATTAGTTTTAAAAATGGATTAATCACGATCGAATATGAGAAGAATAATCGATTATGATTGTTAGAATTAAAACTTATTACATGTATTGTGTTTCGGGACTAAAAAATTATTACAATTGCAAATATTTTTTTGTCGTACGCATTCTATTTCTTCTTTTCCATTGCTCGATGTCAAATCGATTGACTGGGAGGGGGAGAGATTTTAGAGACAAAAGGTTTGTTTTTTATGTATTCGATATCTGATAAAACTCTGTGGTTTCCGATTTTGCGGAAAAATTTTCTTCCGTGAGACTTTCAGGTTTGTTTTTTATTGTTACACTAAAACTTTTCTTCTCATGTTTTTCCAGCAGATAAACTGATGTTATTTTCGTCAAAACGATGACAAATAACATCAGCTTGTTTGCTTGAGAAGCTGGATGAAAAATTTTAGTGTAGCCCAGTGCAGCAATAGGAAAATTAAGAAACAAGCCTAAAGATTTTCATGGCAAAAATTTTTTTTCCACAAAATCGGAAACTGCGGATTCGTCGAGGGACATTCGTTGACTCAACACGCGTGAGTTTTTCAATTTCCGTTCATTTCATGACTCTCTTAATAGCCTCTTGCTATGTACGCAGTATCGTGACGTTTCCCGCGTAATTATTATCCGAAGCTGGCGACAGCGACGTTGGTCAATCCTTGTCGCCGAAACCGCCAACGGCAGTATCGATTTCCATTGATAGCCACGAATAGTAATTTCGCGAGGATCGCGAACGTTAATTGGCTGCCGGAATAACGTCGCCGAATTTAAATTTGGCTCTTTCTTTCTCTCTTACCGTTCGTCTTTTGTTATTCATTTTTTTTCCAAGATGGAGTCAAAGTCTCATAAGTTTTCCATTTGCAGTGTTCGTTTGGGAAAAGTTAGACAAATGAAAAATTATTTCGATTTCCGAAATGTCAGAGAACAAAAGGGAAGCAACAAAATACCGAATACGAATATAGCCTGCGGGCAAGGACGGAAAAGGACGAAGGGTTGTGGCGGGGAACGAGGGAGGGAAAGGCAGTCCCTCCGAGCGCTTTCCAGCCGCATGCCACCGGGAAAGCTATTGACCGTGAGAACCTTCCGGGAAACCCCCGTCACCCCCGAATCCCTTCTGGCCTCTTCTCTTCTCGCCATATGCCCACCGCAGGAAGCGACCACGGTCCTGCAGGTATAGCCGAAATTCTCATTCTTTCTTCTATACCTTTTCTCGTCATGTCCCATTCGTGTTCTCGAATGATTATTTCTGCGAGTCTCTTCGGAAAAAAAGAAACGAAGGCGAAAAAGGGAGTTTAAAACACGGACAAATATAACGGAATATTCTCTCTCTCTCTCTCTCACATTCTCTGTCTTATTTTAGTTTCTATTCTCAATTTTTATTTTTATTTTTATCTTTATTTTTTTATTATATGTCATTCTTTTCTTTTCATAGTCAATTATTTTGTACTCACGATCAAAGCATGCGGATCAGCGGACCCAACAGTTGAGTGAGCACTTGCTGTTATTGGCGTATTCTTTTAGATCATCCAATCAGCATTTTAGATCTGGAAGAATATATCAATAGCAGCGAGCACTCACTCAACTGTTGAGTCTACTGAATGCAGTTATTATTTTGTACCTTTATTTTCATTACTATCTTATATTCTTTTGTTATATTCTTAGAAGGCCTACCTTAGAACCATAATATGGTTATCTATCTTAGGGCTATCTATCTTATTTTATTTTTGATAAATTCATTTTTTGTTTTTTGTAACTAATTTTTGTAAATTTTCTCTGTATCATCTACTTTAATTTATTTTTTCATAGAGGACAGCTTTAGAACATAAAAACTATTTATCTTCTCTCTCTCTCTTTCTTTTTCTCTTCTCTAGATGAATTTTTTTTTCTTCATTTATCGTTCGCGAGATGCGCTCGCAGTAAAAAAGATGGCCGGTGAAGAGGAAATTATTATCTGCGGGCACATGGGAGTAATACGCTTCCTCTGACTTCTTCCGATATCGGTGCAACAAGGGATTTGTAATGTGAACCGTTACAAGTTTTTTTAATACGCTCACTAAGAAACTTGCCGAAGTCATAATAAATTTTGTCATAGTACATTTTCATCTATACACACACAACGATTTATCAGGTCTCTTTTTTTTCTTAATAACCTAAAATCTGCTGTATGGTGCTGTGACTTTTGCAGGTCGAAAATCCAAAGAAATAAAGAGAATCTTTTGTAGTCTTTTGTCCAGTCTAAATTTTTTATTGTTCTAGTAAAAAAAACTTCAACAAAAAATTGCAAACTTACTTTAAAAAAAAATTCTCTTCTGTATTGTATTATTAAATAGATTTTTTTTTAACTCACATATTAAAATCTTTAATAATAAAAACTGACATTTGAGCAGAAATGAGGATTTGAGAGTGAAATTTTTCTTATGCCTGAAAAGATTGCAGATTGTAACAGATAAAAGTAAACATTCTTTATATTTAAAATAAAATAACTTATTAAAAGCAAGGAGGAAAGTTCTAATGCACAGTCCAGTAAAAACAAACCTATTGTTATATAATTAAACAGCCTAGTAATATAGTGGACTAGTAGTGTTTAAGATAACACGGTAATTTTGGACATTTTTACGAAAATTACGTGCCGATCAGTCACGCATTCCCGGTCTGTATAATCAAAAAAAGGACAGTACCTTCATCGCGAAGTATATAATTTTAGTGATTTCTGCGTCGCATAGCTTTCCATTTGCTTCTGCGTCACCGAGAATTGTTTCCAGAAAAGTGCCGCTCTCCAAGAAGCAACTTCTCCTTTTTCATAATTTTAGCATACTTGGAAGATTCTTGAAAATTGCATGTGACGAATCCGAAAATTTGATGAGATTCTAATTTAAATCCAGATTGATCT